CTCGCAGGCGTAGGGCCGCTCGCCCGAGTGCGTGCGCCGGTGGCGCAGCAGGTTGGACGAGACGCTGAAGCGCTTGCCGCAGTCCCCGCAGGCGTAGGGCCGCTCGCCCGTGTGCGTGCGCTGGTGCTGCACGAGCGCGGAGCTCTCGCTGAAGCGCTTGGCGCAGTAGGAGCAGGCGTAGGGCTTCTCGCCCGTGTGGATGCGCTGGTGCGTCACCAGGTTCGAGTGCTGCGAGAAGCCCTTGCCGCACTCGCCGCAGCGGTGCGGCCGCTCGCCAGTGTGCGTGGCCTGGTGCCGCACCAGGTCAGTGCTGCGGCTGAAGCCCTTGCCGCACTCCCCGCAGATGGTTGGCCGGTCCCGGGTGCGCCGCCGTCGCCGCTGCCGGGCTGGCGTCAGGGCTGCGCTGCCCGCGGGGCCTGAGATGGGCACCACCGCTGCTGGTGGCGGGGCCGTGGCCGGCAGCACCATGAGCTCCTGCAGCACCACGTAGCCTGGGGGGGCCACCATGACCGCAGCTGGAGCCCCTGGTGCCGAAGCCCCACCTGCCCCTGCAGCGGGCACCAGCTCCAGCTGCAGCTCCGGTTGTACAGGGGTCAGCTCCAGCTGCACCTCCTGCTGCTGGGTCCCCAGCTCCACCGGGGTCAGCTCCAACTGCACCTCCTGCTGCTGCTCCAGCTGCTGCTGCTGCTCCAGTTGCTGCTCCAGCTGCTGCAGCTGCTCCTGCAGTTTGAGCCGCAGCTGCCGCTGTTCCTGTTGTCTCTCCAGCTCCTGCTGCCGCTGCTGCTCTAGTTCCTGCTCCGACGCCAGGTCCACTGGCAGGAGCTCCAGCTCCACCTCTTCCTCCTCCTCTGGCTCCAGTGGGCGGGTCTGCAGCGTCTGCTGTTGCAACTGGTCTTGCTGCTGCTGCAACAGCTGCTGCTGTAACTGGTGTTGCTGCAACAGCTGCTGTTGTAACTGTTGTTGCTGTTGCTGCAACAGCTGCTGCTGTAACTGTTCTTGTTGCTGCTGCAACAGCTGCTGTTGTAACTGTTCTTGTTGCTGCTGCAACAGCTGCTGCTGTTGTAACTGTTGCTGCTGCTGTTGTAACTGTTGCTGCTGCTGCAACAGCTGCTGCTGCTGCTGTAACTGTTGTAACTGTTGCTGCTGTTGTAACTGTTGCTGCTGCTGTAACCTTTCCTGCTGCTGTGATTGTTCTTGCTTCTGCTGCTCCTGTTGCTCCTGCTGCTGTAACTGTTTCTGCTGTTCTAACAGTTCCTGCTGTTGCAACTGCTGCTGCTGTTGTAGTAACTGTTGTGGTTGTAACTGTTCTTGCTGCTGCTGCAGGGGCTGTTGCTCTTGTACTTGCTGCACTTGTAACTCTCTCTGCTGTTGCATCAGCTGCAGTTGTGGCGTCAGTTGCTCATGTTGCACAGGCTGGAGTTCTTGTAGTTCCTGCTGTTGTGGAGGCAGCTGCTCAGGCTGTTCCTGCTGGGGCTGCTGCTGCTGGGGCTGTCCATGCTGCTGCTCCTGCACTTGCTGCTCCTGCACTTGTATTGGTGGCAGCTGTGGATTCAGCCGCTGATGTTGCTGGGGTTGGCGTTTTTCCTGGAGTTCCTGATGTTGTTGGGGCAGCTGTTCTTGTCCATCCTGCTGCTGCTGCTGCACTTCTGACAGATGTCCTGATGGCTGGTTTTGTGGCTGCTGCTGTAGCCGCTGTTCTTGCTGGGGCTGTAGTTGCAGCTCTGGCTGCTGCTTTGACCATCGCAGTTGCAACTCTGGCTGTCCTGGCTGGGCCTCCTCAGCAATCTCACTGGCCCCCTTTGGGGCTGAGACTGCTGGCCGTGGCGGGCTGCTGCTTCGCTCCTGAGCCTCTTCCTCCTCCTGACTCTCACTCCCACCGCTGCCACCTGGAGTAGACACGGCAGGAAGTCAGGAGAGGAAGGTCTACAGGCGCTCTCTGCCCCAGACCCTCAGAACCTCCCTCTTATCCTGCTCCATGTACAGCCACTCTAGGGTACATGGCTGAGATCTCAGCAGGGACCCAAAAGCACTGGATCAAGTGACAGTGGCAGCATGGCAGACATTGAAATGCCCAGAGGTGTGGGGTTGGCTTAGAAATGCAACCGAAAGACTGCTGGTCACATCACTCTGGATCCCAGCTCCCTGGCCCTTCTCTGGGCCATCCTCCACATGGGCAGTGACTCCAGCATGGAGTCCAACACCATTTCCCGAGAAGTCCCTTGGGTCTAGTAACTATCCAGTGGGACTCAGTGAACCAACCATTCCCAGCTACACACCCACGCTGCACTCTGGCCTCAGTTAGGGTCACACCTTAAAAAAATAAAACTTGCTTTATCTGTAAATAAGAAACTGTCTGTAAAGCTGCCTGGAAGTGTTACCACAAGCAGTTTCTACAAGTCACCAAAGTTCCAGAGAGAACACAATGTCTCCAGTGGGAAGCCCTCAGTCCAGAGGACTCGAGTTTGGCCCTCACTCTACCAGTCAGCAGCTGTCCAACCCCCTGCAGGTTCAGTGCCCTCCTTGTCTGTAAAATAGCCTAATGATGCCCACCCTGCCAGCTTCCTGAGTGCAGCAGGAAGAGCACTGGCACATCCCCTAGAACCTGGTAGATGCTTGCAGAGTCCCTCGCCCTGGGGGTTAGGAAATAGTTTGCAAACTAACAGTTTGGAAATGCCAAGGATACAACTAGCCCCATCTGAAACAGCCTAAGACTGGAAGTGTTAGAGACTGTCATTTTGGAACAGGAGGGACTAACTTGCAGCCCCACGTGAACATAGCGACCGGCCAATTCCTTAACCTCTGGGGGTCCAAGTTTCTCCATCTGCTGAAGGAGACAAATGCTTTTCAGGGACACTGAGGACTGGAGGGTAAATGCCCAGGCCCAGCACGGCGCAAGCACAGAGGAAGCCCTGCGGAACAGGAGTCATTCCGTCTCCAAATGCCACCTTCTGCACGGCAGCCACAGACAGTGTCTCGTTTTGAGCATCACTACTGAGTTAGCAGAATCTCTAAGAAGCTTTTTCCATGCCCAAGTCTGATTTCAACATATTTTCAATTTTGTAATGGAAAACAGGGGGTTGATTTATAAAATTTTGCTTTCTGGTCATTTTTCCAGGAATATATCGATTTAATGAAACCAAGGGGCATCTATGTGGAAATAAATTCCTTCTAGGAAACTATTCCTAATAACCAGGGGGGGTGCCCTCCAGATAGTAAGCTGCTCACCACCCTTTAGGCCCCTCTCTCCACCATGGCAGGCCTGGGGCTGTGTCCAAGGGTCCTTGCTGGGGGCCTGCAGACTAGCTCCTGTTTTGGAGGTCAGAGGCCCCTCACCTGAGAGGGTGTCAGGCGCTGGGCCCCCATCTTTAAGACACCGAAGGTCCAGCACGAAGGTGTCAGTCGCCGGCCCCAGCTCCATCCTGGTGGTCAGACCAAGATTCCAGGGAGCCGGCTGTGCTGAGAAGAAGGAAGGAAGCTGTTCAGATGGGCAGTGGTCCTGTGAACTCCCAACCTATGGCACTGACTGCGAGAGAACCCCCAAATCTGAGTCAGGCCCTCAGAACAGGCGGCTGCACCCCTGTTGTGAAGGAGGACAGTGCAGTCAACAGCTGGGAAAGGAGGAGAGAGGGCAGCCAGGAGGCTCAGTGCCCAGGCCCCTTCCCCCGCAGAGGTGGGTGGTCCTTCCTCTCCTGACTTTTGCAGGGCCCCCACTGAGCCACATGGCCTGGGGGCAGTGCTGCAGCTGCTCCTCTGGGTGGGAAAGCAGGCCCCTCACTAGGATGGGGAGCTGAAGTCCCAGAGGGACCCATGGGAAGTTTGCAGAAAAGTGACTTTTCATCTCACGTCCCCTGCCCTGTTCAAGGCACTGGCAGGACTGTTCATTCTGTCTCCTGCTTCAGAGGCTGAGGTTTGGCCCAGCCTTCCTGGGCCACCGGCAGGCCATGGGTTCCAGGCTGTGTGCGTCCTGGTGCCGGTTCAGCTCCCCAGGGAGGTGGCACAACTCAGGGCGCCACCAGCTGCCGGCCTGGCCCTGCACCCACGGGCTCCTGAGGTCTGGGGGGCTCTTGCCTCTCCGTGTCCACTCTAGCCCCTGCAGAAGTGTCCCCACATCCAGTCCCCCCTCCCCTCCCAACAGGATGACTCTGGGTCTCTCTAGCCTTTTAGAACCCAGTCCAAAACCTCTTAAGGGAAGCGCGGGGCTCGCCCAGCTCTCGGGCCCACCGGTCTCACCTGGTTCAGCATTTCCTGCTTCTCAGCGCAGCCGCAGCACCTGCAGGGCAGGAGGTGTGGTCGGCGGGGGCTGGAAGGTCAAGGCCAGAGCCCTGGGCCAGCTCCTCCCGGAGGCGCCTCCATCCAGAAAGAGCGGGGAGGCGCAGGGCCCCCGGGCGCCTTCTGGGCACTGGGAGGGTCGGCTGCTGTCAGGGCTGCCGAGGTCGCCCTGGGCCAAAGGAAGGGACAGAGCGCAGTTCGAGAGCAGAAGTTGGTGTGGGCGCCCCGGGACGGCGGGCAGACCGCCCCGATCCGCGCCGGCTCAGAGCTGGCCCCGCGGGACCATCGC